CTTTGGTATCCTTACTTTGACATGCTTACAATCTTAGACTTGCTGTTGTCAAAGGTAATGGAGGTTTCTAATTGTCTCTGAAGCAACACTAAAAGTTTGGTGCTAGTAGACTTTTGGTTTTAAAAATCTCTCTCTGTTGAAGTTACAGGGTTTGTGAGCTTAAGCCCTAATGGTTTGACAAAGAGTATGTCTCAGCCATGTAGCTGCTAATTGAAACAACTATAAACTTCTCATAGGAAACTGATCTTCGTGATAAAGAATGAGGAAAACAGAGCTGTGTTTTGTATAGATCATTTGCATTTGTCCCACAGTGGTAAATAAGAGTCAAGCACAGTACAGACACATCAAAATACATCTGGAGCAATCAGCTAGGTCAAGCCAGGCTTAGTAGGTCTGGGTCAGTATGAGCCATGACATGCCTGGTCTGGGCAACACAGTGCTAAATCTGTGGAATGAAACTGAAGACTCACCCTGGGCCAGTGCTGTGAGTTCAGACCCCGCCTGCCCTTCCCCCAAACCAAGCCTTTCGTCTACTGGGAAGGGGAGACACCTTTATCAGGAGGGTGGTTTTCCCAGGGTGAAACTCATCACTTGCAGTTCGGGTGTGCTGACCCCTGTGATTTCCACAGATGCAAAGCTAATGAATATAGCTGTAATCTGTTAATAGGTGACTCATTTCAGACCATGGCAAAAGCATTTTATTTGTAATGTGAAATACTAGGGCAAGGAAAAGCATATGTCACAGACTTGGGATAGAGGAAGACAGTAGCAGAAAAAGGAATATAACCATGAATAAAGGTACATCAAAATTCCTTAAACATCGTACTGAGAAAGTGGAAGTAAGTGTGCAAAAGCATAGGAAGCTCCTAGTGACAGATAAACCTGAAAGCATACTGAAAACATAATAGGAGTGTGTTGCCTCTTTACCAGCTAGACCCACCTTCTCCCTCTCTCCTCTCTTCCTCCTCCAGCCCCAAGTGCCCAAAATCACTGAAATGTATACACACTTTCCAAGGGTATGTGTTAAAACACTTTATTACTTCAACCAGATGGAGGCTTAGAAAGGCTTCAAAGTAACAAACCTGCTAACTTTTGAGTTCTATAAAAACCAAAGGTACTAAGACAAATTAAATGTCAATAGCGTTGATTTTTGGACAATTTTCTAAGGACAGGCAGGTTACATTACTGTCTAAGAGTCTGGAAATGTTGTGAAAGACAGCAGTAGGCAATACTGGAGAATATTTAATTCAGTAAATGGCATTCCACATGGATCCATGCAAAAATGATCAACTGGCAGAGTAAGCCAGAGCATTTAGAGAAAGAGATATCAAATAAAAAAGGTAAGAAATATGCTTTTTTTATGAATTAAAGTATATTCCTGTATCTTTCTGAAACCATTGAAATAGACATGTAGCTAGACAATAAAAGCCCTGAATATTTACATAAATAATGTCATGCAAGAGTCTCTGAAGTCACCCATCTAAATAGAGAGGGGATTCTAACTGGTCTTATAAACATTAAATTTGCTGGTTTTACGGGGGAAGAATAGAATAGAATAGAATAACATGAGTATTAATGCCAGCACTCTTTGATTTTATTTATCACTCATTTGGAAGTTTTTAATAGTTTTTAATGAATAACTCGTGGCAAAGTTGCACCAGAGCAAGATAAGTTAGGTAATCAAATAAGAAAGAATTAACATGGGGTATGTCCTCCCTTGAATATATATTGTTGCAAAGTTTTCATTGGTTTCTGTGGCAAACGATAGGCCAGTATACGGGAAGAAATGCCATAACTTTGGGCATATAACAGAGGAAAGACATTAATGTCCAGTGCTTTCCTCTTTTAAAGTATAGTCAGTGTAGTAGCAACTCTTGATGTATTTAGTTCATAAGAAACACTGATTTAATGGAAGTATCATATGAGTAAATACAACGAAATAATGGCATATTGAAATCACTCCATGCTATTTGAGCTACAGTGGCAAGAAACTATTTTATGGTGTAGCACCTCAGAAGCAGTTTTCCTTTATTTTAAGGAGAAGATGTGTCGAAAGTGAATTCCTGTGATTTCCACAGCTGCAGCTATTTCATAAGTAAATGGTCATATGTGGTACAGAAGGAAATTATGCTGTAAATAACCAAGCCAGAACATTCTTATAGAGGGCTTCTTAAATAAAGTCTCTATGGTTTTGTATATAACCTTTACATAATATCAGGTGGACATGGGTATACTCAATTTAAGAGCATTTGCATTCTCCAGGTGGGGCACCCCAGGTGAAGCTCAGATGTAACACTCATCAGAAATAACAGAACATTAAATATATTATGCATAGTCCTGTGTTTTTTCATAGTACCTGTGGAGACTAGCAAGCTGCATTCTTAGTCTTGCAAATTTTACAGTATAAATGAACATGTTTTTTTATTCTTATCATCAATTACCAAAAAGCAATCTCTGAACCCCAGGCTTCCTATGTTTATTTAATTACTGAAAATGCAATTCTTGGAGAAACAATTGAAGAACGAGTAATCACTATATACATAGAAAAACAGATCTGGATCTCTAGTTGATTTAAAAAAAATAATCCTTTCTGCCTCCTCACACAAGAAAAGACGAAGGAAAAGAGGGAACAAAAAATGAACAAACAATCTACTATTCCATCACAAAGACATTCTCTCAGTGAGGCTCCTTCCAGTGGCCATAGCTACGATAGTGAGGAGTGGGTAGCACAGGGGTCAGCGGTCAGTGACAGGTATCAAAGTGATTAAGGTGGGGGAGACTGTTCACTGAATGACTAGAGCTTAAATAGCCAGCTGTGATGGATTGTGAAATAGATCTGTTTGCTCTTCATCAGTATTTCATTGCCAGTGTTGCTTTTTAACGTTATATATTATTGCTTGATAATACCAAGAAAATCTATTGTATTTTAACACAAAGAGAATCCAGTAAAGTGTGCCATCATCCTCACAGCAGAAAGGGCACTATCAGTGCATATTAGCATAAAAAACATCATTCCAGCTTTTGCGAGCTGGTTGCTGATAGCAACTTGATGAAAAATTAATCTACCTTACGTTTATAATGAGATCAGAATGATCAAGCCAGCATGGTGGGCCCAGTGTGCAACTCCTGCTGCTTTCAAAGACGGCGTTTGTGTTGTACTGTTGGCTGGTTGGATCTTCAGAGGGGTGAGGTGAGTGGCAGCATGGCTGGCGAACGGCATTGCTCTTCCAGGCAGCGTCCCGTCGGAAAAGGGAAAAGGGAGTGTGGCATGGGGAGTCCTGAGAAACCATTTGATGTAGTGCCAGTGGCAAGTGGCAAGTACAGCCCTGGATAGCTTTTCTGTTGGCAAACCATCTCTGATGGTCATCAGAATAGCGTACAAATAGCAAGGACAGTGGCTGCAGAAAAGAGGTCCTTAGGGAAAGTAGGTACTGAATCAGATATTGACTGAGGAAGGAGGTCACATGCCTTGGTGAGAGTGGAAAAGAGAGGGAAAACTGTTAGTCTGGCCTCTTGCTGCATCCTAGTATGTCACATTTTGTTGGTTAAAATGTGTATCAAAAAACCCACTACTGACAATGAAATAAAGTGATGAGCCCAGAATGAAAGAAATCCCATAGCAGCCCTCGAAGTTCCTGGAAGTGCCAAAGTTGCTCAAGTTCCTCGAGCACTTCGTAGAGATACAGGAACGATCCTGGACTTGTGAAACATCTTTCCCAAAGTCACAGAATGTATCAGTAGTAATTTTAGGAAAAGAATTCACTGGTTTACTCCCTATTCTGTGTTTAAAAAAAAAAAGTGTATATTGATGTAAGAAACCAACTTCAATAATCACTATTAATTCTCCAAACAAAATAATTACCAGTGTTCTTGGAAAATTGAGAGACGAGTGATGAATTCCTGCTATGGGGTGTGATTTATGCTGGATTAACTGAAAGATTTAGTTGACTAATGGTTGGTAAGTATTGATATACACTCTAAAATCATAACACTGCTATGAATCTTAGAATCCTCTCTATGTATAATAATATGGTAGCTAATTTTTCAGCTTGCCCTGATGCCTCATTCATAGTTTCAGTGAACTTTGGATCCAGATTCAATGTGAAAAGTCACTTGTAATCATGTGAAATGAAGAAGTTGCAATTACTATGTGAATATTCTCTTGGAAGGACTAAATGAGTGGATTATGTACTTATCCCTTATTTAATAATACCTAAATGAAATAGTCCTAAGGAAACAGAGGATTAACAAATAAGAATATAATACACAGCAAGCAGTCTAGCTGAAGAAAGACTGCATAATCTAAAATATCCTCAGCTAAATCCACTCTAGCAAATTTAGCAGGGAGACTGAATTATTTCAGATGCATGCGTGCTTACAGTGCTCCATTTGGGTCAAGGCTAAAGTTCAAGAAGGACAGAGAAAGACTCTCAGGCTGCCTTTCTACTCTTGGACCTACCCAGTCCATGAGTAGAGGACTCCAGCTGTGAATGAACATAATCTTCTTAAGAGTAAAAAATCTAAATATTTGTGTAAAACCAAGCAAGAATGTGGCATGATAGCATGCAGATACACTGAGGAGCTTCATCGTGTTGTTTGTAAATCTCAGTGAGTCATCGTGCAGTCCAGCTTTCACTAAGGTCAGTTGAAAAAACTTGTGTTGACTTCAGTATATGTAGAACAACAGTTCACCAATTCAAAAACTGGTCTTTTAATTTTCTCCCAAACTAATATTTTTCCAAAGTTGCAGAACATATATGAAGACAGGTCCATTTCATATGCAACTATATTCAAACGTGTTGGTATTTCTGCATAAAAGTTGCAATCAATTTCTGTATTAACAAAATTGCATTCATAGGTTTTAAATGACATTAACAGAGGATAAGGACTTGCGTTTTGATGTTGCTTAGTGACACAAGTTAAGGACCCAGGTTTCCATTCCTAGTTCCTAGCTACCTTCTTTTTACCTAAACCAAAGTTTCCTCTCTGCCTTTTTCCAGGTCTGGAGTTGGTGTGACAGGCTCTAGGCAGACGTTATTTTATGCAGAAGTGACAGACCAGATGAGAACCAGCGAAGGAGGTGGCCAGCCTGAAGAAGGAGAGCTGATTGAAGTTGTAGAAATACCTTTAGAAGACTGCATGAAGTTTGCTTATGATGAGACTCTCCCAAAGACGATGGGTGTCATCTTCAGCTTCATGTGGTTCCAAAACAACATAGCACCCAAGCTACAAAAAAATAAAATCAAAACACCATGAGTTTAAGAAAAGCTTTCCTGCTGGTTCTGTGGATACAGAAAACTGCTTGCCTTGATCAATTCATCACAAAGCAAATCTTTCTTGAAATAAATTTGGAAGTAAAATCTGAATTAAAATCCTGACCCAATTTCCATCATTAGCAAAACACTTGCTGGCTTCACTGGGGCCAGGATTTGCCTCTGAGAAGCAAATGTTGATTTTTGCACAAAGGCTAAGTAAATGTGTCCAGGTTCTCCTTTTTCGTGGCACTGCTCTACCACTGTTTTGAAGAGCTGCTCGGGACCTCAGTGCAGCTGCTGTACCAGCCTGTCTCTGTGGTCTGTACGTAGTGGCAGCTGTGTATTCACTGTAGTTTCTGATATTTTGGGGGTGGGGGGAGCCAACCTTAACAGACACAGATATCCTAACTGTGTTCCTGAGTTCTGCACAGCTTTCAGGGAGCAGCTTTCTCTGTGGTGTGTAGCTCCTGTACAGAGAAAACGTTTGCATTTCTGAACATGCAAGCCTTTATTTCATAAGCAAACACGTCTGTAAATCCTTCTGCTAATGTGTCATTTTGACAATAGACCAGCTGTAAGATTATGTGCTTCTGTTTGTTCCCACTATAATGCTGAGCGGCCGTGATGGAGGGATGAATGATGGGGGTTTCTACTGGAACACATGCTTCTTTGTTTGTTTTATGGGTAATACTTGATTAATTAGATCAAACTTTGTCCTTTAGAGCAGGACTTGAGAGGCCAAATGTTTTTAATTTGACTCTGAGGTGACTTAATACAAGTGATTTTGCTGAGGTGTTCTGTGGTCGTAGTTTCCTTATCACCCAAGTGGGAAGAATGGGACTTACCCCTCGGATAACGCTCCGGGAAATGTAATGATCGGAAGTGCTTTACTGAGAGATTCTGCCATCATTAGTGCAGTTTACATTGGAGCACGTACAACCTGCACAGACGTACTGAGCAACACAATTCGATTGAATAATGTGGTCTAATTAGAACGTATATTATTTATTCTATCAGCGTGGTTTAGATGTGGACTGTTTGTCATGTGAAACTGTTAAGTGCATGAATGAAAGAGAATCAAGTCTGGCAATTTAATTATGCAGTAGTTTATGTTATTCACTGAGTTAATGTTAATTAACATGACTACATTATATGTGCTTCTAGGATTACTGAGATACTAAGTATGTTCAGAAGATGAGTACTGCGACTATGCAAACTTTCATATAGCAACTGGAATAAATGCAGTACAGATGCCTGATGGTATCCAGTAGCTGATTTAAAATCACTGCGTATCTAAATAGGTGTATAAATAAATAATTTAAAAAAAAAATGCTTTTAGAACTGGTACTTGCT